TTCATATACAACATAAACATATCATTTGCACACACATCATACACAGATGATACATGCAGCATATTTACATATTCACATGCAGCATGTAAACATATAGACACATAAACACGCATATACACACAGAAAATAAAGTGAAACAGAACAACCAGATCCTTTCATAAAGGAGTTCTATCATAAGATCCTTACGTGTCAGGAACAAAACATTACCTCAGTTAATTCTTATGTCAACTCTGTCAAGTCAGTGCTGTCACCTCTTTCTACAGCTTAGAAAATGAAGAGGGCTCATGTCTTCCAAGACCACTGCTGCAAGTGTTTTCTACCTTGTTACTGACTTCACAAGTACCTTGAAGGGGTAATGAGAGAATTACTGGGCCTTTGGATGTTGCTCAGTCATGAAGGACTTAACTTACCTAACCTTCATGAGGACTTATGTTCAAGTCCCAGAACTGCAAAATTGAAGGAAGAGCAGGGAAATGGTTCAGTGTGTCAGGTGTTGCTATTGAAATATGAGGACCCAAGTTTGAGCCCTAGAATACACACTGAAAAAACCAGTCATGGTATCATTCCCAGGTCTGTAGTCCCATAACTAGGAAGGCAGCTCTGGACGCCTCATCAACCCGCAAGCCTAGCTTAGCTGCTAAGTACTGGATCAGAGGGAGATGTGCCTGGAAATGATTTGAAAGAGAGCTGGAAAGAGTGCTCAGCAGGTCAAAGGTGCTTACCACGTAAGCCTGATGACCAGAGTTCAATTCCCAGACCCCACAAAAAGGGAGTGGAAGAGAGATGAACAACTTCGGAGTTGTGCTGTGACCACCACAGAGTCACAGCATGTACACATACACACAGCAAATAAATAAATAATTTTTAAAAGGTGAATGGTGCCTAAGGAATTACACTCAAGGTTGTCCTCTGGTCTGCACACACATGCACCTCCACACAAATGTGAGTGTGTGCAAGTGTGCATGCGCATGCACACACACACACACACACACACACACACCCCAAAGGGAGAAACTGTCGAAGAATGTTGCTGATGAAAAGAGAATCCTAGTAAGTAATTCATCTCTCTGGAGCTGCAATCTTCATGTCCAATAAGCACTAATACTCTTGGGACCTGCCACAGCCTCAAGACCCCAGAGTCTCAGTGCAAATGCTTCTTGCTCTAATTCTTTTTTATTCTGTTGCAAGAGACCAATTCCGCTGAACTCTCCTTGGGAGCAGCAGAACACTAATTTCAAAGTGACGGTGACATCAGAAAAGTCCCTCACAGCAACTTCACTCCAGTTCAAACCTCCTCTGAATATGGCTCCAAGAACTGTCCTGGCACTAAAGCCACAGCGAACACTAAACCGCTAACCTCATTTATTGGAAGGCTTCAGACAAAGCACAACTATTATTATTGTAACTACTTATATGATCCGTGCATAGAAAACGGGTCTTGCATGAAAAAGGTAAGGAAGGGGAAAGCTGGGTCTTATAAGACACCTTTGCCTAACTTAAAGCAGATTCGGAAGTTATTTTCTCCTCTGTGATATGAACAGTAATTATTGCACTTACCCTATGGGACTGTGTTGAGAAGACAGTATAAAACACTCCTGAAAGAAGGTAAGAAGAGGGGGCAGAGAGACGGGTTCCTGGCTAAGATCACTGGCTCTTCTTCCAGAGGACCTATGTTCAATTCCCAGCACTCACATGATAGCTCACAGCAGAAGGTAAACCTGTCTGGGGGATCTGATGCCCTCTTCTGGACTCCATGGGCACTGCATGCAATAGTGCACAGGCACACGCAGCTGTAAGACCCATACTCATAAAATACAATTTTTAAAAATCTAAAAAGAGAGTATGATGGTGTGAACAAACAACTGTCTAGTTTGCCCTTCTTCCCTTACTAACTAATGTCACCAGAATGACAGTGCGCAGTCTGGGTGGTGGCTGAGCTAGTAGAGTGCCTGGCCACTCAGCTCGCAAGTAACTCCCCCTGGGTTCAATCCCCATCGACTGTGTAGGGTGTGACGCTGCACACCCATTATCTCAGCACGCAGGTGAGAGTGGGGCAAAAGCATCAGGTTCAAGATCATCCTCCATTATGAGTAGTTTGAAGCCAACCTGGGATTCATGAGGACCATCTTAAAAGAGAAAGAGACGGTGTGTGTGTTGGGGGGGAGGTGTCAGAAGCAAAACAAAAGGAACAACAAGAAAAGTTAGCCTCCCCCACTTCAAATCTTTTAAGGCTGCCCACTGTCTGGGAACCAAATGTACACTCCTCAGAGGGGACAACCTCTATCTGCCTGGAGCCTTCCTGCCTTAGATCCTATCATCCCTACTCTTCTGAATGATACAGTGCCTGCCATGCCTCCAGAGCACAGGCTGACCCGTGTTATGCTTTCTACCCTGCAGGAACTAACTTTGCTTGCTCACTGAAACCTACCCAAATGGAATCCTTGAAACCGGAAGGGTTTGGAGGAAGCTTTAGGTAAAGGGCCTATCATATTACCATAACAAAAGGTTATCAATAATGTCCCAACTAAATGTAAATGAGGCCTTTCAGAGTAAGAGCAGTCCATTCAAAGTCTACTTCAGTGCTGACGTAAGGAGATAGTATAAAAATGGTTTCTGAATTAATAAATATCAACTATGTGTAAATTGAGATATATGTATATATATATATATATGACGCCGTGACATGTATGGCTTTTTGTTTTGTTTTTTTAAGATTACAAGCTGGGAAGGCAGCACAGTTAATGAAGTACTTGCTGTACATGAATGAAGTCCTGAATTTGTTCCACCGCACCCATATGAAAGTGGGACATCGCAGTACACTTGTAATCTCGGCTCTGGAGGGAAAAAGCAGATCCCTGGCCAACAAGCCTAGCCTAACTGGGAAGCCCCAGGTACCAGAGAGATCATGAGTAGAAAGACAAAATGGCTCCCAAGCAAAGACACTTAAAGATGACCTCTGGTTCTCACATGCATGTGCACACATGTGCATGCACACACTCTCACTCATAAATGAAAAAGTTTAAAAAGACTATAAGAAAATAGGAATATAGGAACTGCAATACTAATTGCTTGTATTAGAAAAGTTTATTTTGTTTTCTATTATAAGCTTGTTATACATGATTTTAGATAAAAGTCTAAAAAATAATGTATAAACGAATGAAACCTAACAGTGAGGACTGTCTTCTCCAGCCCTCTAGCTGACCAGCCTGCAGGAAGGAGGCGCAGCGTTTGAGTTGAAGGTGTTCTGTGGAACTGTAACTGAGATGTTAAACCCACGCATTACAAGGCTAGTCAATGAGCAAAACTAGATGCTACTCAGTCAAGTAAGAAACCATGACTTTGGATGACATTATTTCCAGATCTCTGCCGGGGCATACTTTAAGAGCACAGAACAAGCACAGCCCCTGTCAGTGACAGGGGCAATGGGCAAGCTCTAAACCTCTTAGGGAAGACATCACTTCTGTAACTAAGAAACACTAGGAGGAGTTAAAACAAACACGGTTCCGCTCCCGGTCTACGCCATTTTACACCCAGGTGGAACCTCACAAGAGAACTCTGTCTCTACCTACACCAGGAATGAGGCGATCTACCCTGACCAACCCATGCCCACTTCACATGTTGCCAAGACCAAAAAGCCAGGAGCAGAGTTGTTGGTGCTTTCTCCAGGGAGACTACAAACAGTCTCCTGTAGACAGAAGTATATAAACTGTTACAAAGGCAATGTGGCAAAAGCTACAAGGAGCTCACTAAGAAGTGCATGGCATCCTGCCACCTTCCTGATGTCAGCTAAGGCTGTGCAATGATTTGACTCTTTAAAAAGCTCTGGCTCTGGAGAGGTGCTGAAGATGTGGCTCCACAGTTAAGAGCCCTTGTAGTCCTTTCAGCATGCTAGCTCAAATCCTCATACCCATGGTCAGTCAAGCCACTCACAACTGCCTGTTGGTAACAACTCCAACTCCAGCTTCAGGGAATCCAAGCCCTCTTCTGGCCCTACCAACGCCAGCAGACACAAAGAGAGACACACAGATTTGAATAAAATAAAAACCTCAAAAGGCGTTTCATAGTACTGATTATAATAAAAACACAGGTGCAACCTTAATAACCACTAGGAAGGGTCATAAATGCACTGGGTGGCATCTTATACAGTAGTTATGAACGTTACAGAAACACACTGACAAGAGTGAGAAGAGCAGCCGGGCAGTGGTGGCGCACGCCTTTAATCCCAGCACTTGGGAGGCAGAGGCAGGCGGATTTCTGAGTTCGAGGCCAGCCTGGTCTACAGAGTGAGTTCCAGGACAGCCAGGGCTACACAGAGAAACCCTGTCTCGAAAAACCAAAAAAAAAAGAGTGAGAAGAGCAGAACAAGCAAGTGAAACAATAATATGGGCACTCTGAACCCACCATTGTTAATGGCAACAATATGCTAAAGAAATAATTGAAAATGTACATATAAAATATGGGTTATTTATGGTTTGTCGAGACAGGGTTTCTCTGTGCATTCTAACTGTCCTGGAACTCACTTTGAAGACCAGGCTGGCCTTGAACTCAAGAGATCCTCTTGCCTCTGCCTCTGCTGGAATTAAAAGCACGTGCCACCATGCCCAGCTCATACAAAAAACAATTAACGGTGGTAGGAAAATAAGAGGTTGTTCCTTTGAAAATTTCCTGATTTTTCCATTTTTTCCTTCAATGAACATATCATTAGAAATATTTGTGTACTTATAGGTAGTTCCAGAAATTAATGTAAAGTGTCTTAAGTTCCCCCAAGGTCTGAGCCTTAGTCCCTCATTTTACTAAGCGATTTTCTTTGCTGACTTAGCTCGTTAGGGAGCCTTAGAACGCTTCCTGAGACAATAGACTTCACTCACAAGTTGCCTAAGCACTGGTTTCATCCGGTTCAACGCCGGATGAGAAGAGACTCCTAGTCAATGCCTTAGTTTCCACTCAAAATTCAAGCCCATCCCTTCAATTTGTTCAGCTGCAGGGTATCTCTTACTTACCTCTCCCGATGGCGCAGCCCCGCGCCTGACCTCCTCGTAGGCGCCCACGTGCTCCCAGGTGGCCAGGAAGGCGTGGGTGGGGGTGAAGCTGGACCCGGACAGCGGGAACCCTGTGCGCACGTAGCGGGCGGCCAGACTCAGCACAGCCTGGGAGGTGTCCTCGCGGTACAGGATCCGGCCCCTGCTGTGACTAGTGTCGATGTCAGCCAGGAACGGGGCGATGGCTGGGAAGTCCGTAGGAAAATCATCATCTACATATTGAGTCTCCCTGGGGAAGTCCTGGGTGGAGATGATGCCGTTGGTGCCCACCTACAATAAGACCACGGGGCGGTGAGACAGTTCAGCAGGTAAGGACAATTTGTCGTCAAACCTGACGACTTGAGTTCTAGGACCCGACACAAGGTGGAAATAAAAACTGGTTGTTCCCTGATCTTCACACGCCCGAGGTGGCACGTGAATCCCGCCCCCCCAAACATTTTTAAAAGGACAAAATAGTGATGGTCGCTCAAGCCCAAAGGCAGCCACCATGCTCCAGTCGTACGCACCTACAGTCCCTCGGAGAAAAGAGTTCTATTCGAGTCCACAAGACTCCCTCTTCCTCTCAGGTTGAGACACATCCAGGGTAACAAGCGCAACAGGCGACGGTCCTGCTCCTACCTCACCCCTCCTGTGCACTGCGACCCACAGGTGCGGCCGCTCTCGAACCTATCTTTCTCCAATATTGCACGTTCTAAGATAGCTCTGCCGGCGGGCACATCCTCCCACCGGCCTAAACACAAACCCCACTGGCAGCCTCAACTTCATCTTCCTGCCTAGGATGTCAAAGTAGAGGGTTCCAGCTCTCCCTTGAAGTGATCCTTATTCCTCCACAGCAGGGATCAAGAAACTGCAGCGCCGCTGCTAAGCCTGGTCCCCAGTGGGGACGACAGTTAAACATGGAGGTTAGTTGTTCCACACCCTGGGAAGAAGCTACGAGTCCCACACCCAGCCGCGGACCTCCGGGAGCTGAACTTACGTAGAGATTGCTGAACTGGGCATCGTAGAAGCGCAGGGGTACTGCCAGCCTCACAGCTGCTGAGCTTTCGTCGTCGCCCTCGGGCAGCAGCTGGTCTCCCCACGACTCCCCGTAAGGAAAGAGCTCGTCAGGACGCAGAGCCTCGACTCTCGACAGCAGCAACAGCAGCAGCGATAGCAGCGATGGCGGTGCCAGCCACCTGGCTGTCGGGTCCCGAGACATGTTCACTCTTCCCAGGATCTGCCCCCCACTCGGCGAGTCTCTGCGGGCCACACTGCCCGCCAGACTCCAACTTGGACCTCTGGTCTGCAATACAGGCCCGCCCAGCACGCTGATTTGCTACAGCTCTCGGCCATTGGCCAATCAGCGACTCTGAGAAAGTTCGCCAGCGGCCACTACATCTGGTTCTCGTTAGGTTTTCTAAGACTGCTATAGTTTGCTGGAGCTGCCGGGCTGGGAAGGTGAGGCTGTTGGCCCGGTCTGGTCTGGTCTGTCCCGACTACTCCTGGGCTACCCCCTACTCTCCAGTGTGGGCTACGATGCTGCAGGAGATGACCTCAAGGGCTGGAAGGACCCTCGGCGCGCGTGCAGCTCTGGGCTGGAGCGACTGTGTGCGCCGGGTTGCCAGAGCGAGGGAGGGTAATAAGATTACACACTGGAGTTCGCGCCCTGCCCTGGGGTCCGGGGTACCCTTCACGCTAGAGGCCTGGCCCTCGGATAAAGAATCAAAGGAGCTTTGTCTCCATCCGGGGGCTGCTCCGCCCCACCCAAATTTCCTGCTGAGAAGCATGCCTTTGTGAAAGGCTGACTCTCAAGTTCTATCCCTAAGCGCTGGCTAACCTTTGGAAGGACACTGCCACCCTCTGAAAGGTCCTCCCCAGCTGTTTGTCTTCCCTGGGGAAAACCACCCTAGAGCAGACCGGTGAATCTCACTTTGTGTGACCCCCTTGAATTGGAGCCTGGAGTGAGGCGGCTAGGCGCCGGGGCAGGACAACGGACTGTTTCTCCCAAAGCCTGGTAGTTTAGGAACTGCCCTAGCAGGAGGCCACAGAGTCTGTAACCCGAGCTGCCCTGAAAGACGGGAAACCTCACAACCTGGAAAGCAGCTGCACCAGTGTTGGGGAACCCCCTCCACCATAAACATACCCTCTGCGAAGCCTCAGGAGCCGGATGAGATTTTATTACCATTTTATTATCAGGAGCGTGAAATTTCCCACGTACAGTCTGTTTTCTCTCGACTCGGCCCACCCCTCACAGGCTCCTTAGAAGCAAAGGTTGTTTAAAAAAAAAAAAACTTAGATACTTTAAAAGGAGTCTCAAAAAACAGCTTTCTCTTTATGTTTATCCCAGCTATGTAATTCTTAAAGACCCAAGGGGCCAAATACTAAAATCCTTGAAGACACCAGACTGAAAGACTCCGAATCAACACAACAAAAAAGGCCCAAAGCAGTTTGCTCCCAGGAGCTGGAGAGTGGTATGTTTGCTCTTGCAAAAAATAAACTCAAGTTTGCACATATTTTTTTCTCGTTTTTTCCCTTGGGACCAAATGTTTACATTTTGCTGAGGACAAAATGGTGTCTCAAAGACTTGAGGTGATTTGACTTGTTCAAGGTCACCTTATGTTACTCTTCCATCCTCCCTAAATTCCTCCACTGGCTCGGGAATCTCCATTCAGCATAACAATTCTTCCTAACGTTGACTGGGAATCTCCATTCAGCATAACAATTGTAGCTAACCTTGACTGAGTCTGTCCTACAAGTTAGTGGCAAACCAAACTCCAAGATGGAATCCCCATAGCCTGATTTCCTAGTGTTCCCTTCCTTGTATAACCCCCCCCCAAAGGTGGGCTAGCCTGTGGATTCTAACCAACAGAATGGGGCCATAGTGATGAAAATTCACTTCAGTGGCTTTTCTGTCTTGCCAGCCAACACTATATCTCCACTGGCTCTGAGGAAGCCATATACTGCATTAGGAGGGCAATGCGTAGTAAAGAGCTCCAAACAGCCTCTGGTCACCAGCCAGCAAGGAACCAAATTCTTCCAAGAGTCGTGTAAGTGAGCTTGTGGAGTCTTGAGAGAGCACCAGAGCCCTGGCTGACTCTGGTTGCAGCCATATGACAGACCCTTGAAGCAAAGGCCTCAGTTAAGCCATAACAGATTCCTAATCTATAATGACCTTGAGAACTACTAAATGTATGTCCTCTTAAGACATTTCATTTGCGAGGATTTGCTGTACAGCAATAGATAACCAAATCAGCAGGACACTGTGCTAAGGATACTAAGCTTGGAGAGTGTGTTTTGGTTTTATTTTTTTAAGTGATTATTGCCACATGACTGGTGTGCATCAGAGCTTGTCTTTAAACCCAGTTTTGTCTAATCTCTAAACGTCTACCCCCAACCGAAAATCCTACTGATTCAATGGCATCTTTACTTTTCAAAGTAACTTAGGCTACTTCTATTGATTCATCTCTGGCTGTGCTACCAGCTCTCAAATGCCACGTCCTATATTTCATGATGCAGAATAACTCACACACACTAGTCCCCTTCCCTATGGTGGGTAAGTTTTCCCACCAGTCTATAAATGACCCTTTGCATCCCTCAAGACATGAAGCAATAGTCTTCAGAATGCGTTCCTGGAAAACAGCCTGATTTAGAAGCCTCTTCTTGTTCAGCACATGTCCCATGCTTACCATGGTGTTACCTCTTCCCACATGTCTTCTGTGATCCGATTAGCCACCATCAGTATGTTTTGGGAGAAGTTTTGTCTTATTCTGAACCTGTCACAATGCCTAGAAATTCAAGGAGTATTTGTTGAATGTGTGAAGCCAAGCAAGCCACCCTGGGACTAGGACTCAGCTCTGCTGGCCCAGAACAACATTTTTCTCCACCACCTTTTCTACTAATTGAACCTAATTTGTAATCTGCTTTACCAGGCTGCTTAGCAATCCACCCACTACTGTTCTCCAGTTTTCATCAGTCTCTTATTCATTCATGCAATATTCCTGCAAGCTTACCCTGGCAGGTAAGATATGAGGGCTTTCATGACCTGGTCCTCGACCTTATAGGCTCACAATCACAACTAGGTTCAGAAAATGAAGCATAACCACAAGGCTCTTACATGTCATGTATTCACCAGCAAAACAGGCCAACTGGCTTTGAAAATAAAGATAGTACTAGCTTTGATTCCAGTGTAAGCTGAGGACCAAGAAGTGGATCCAGCAGAGAGATGGCTGAAGTGAACGGTCTCATTTCCCTGAATTACAGCTGTGCTTGAACACACATTCCTTGAAGCTTTTATTCTAATTTATTTTTAAACAACTCCATGGCACCAAAAGAGAGGCTTCTCCTTTAAAATGTCACCTTTAAAGGAGACACTTTGAAAGTATCTTGGGGAAAAGAACATTTCTGTCATAGCTGTTTCACTAGTCAGAGGGAAGAAATGCTTCTCTGGTACCCACAGTTTCATTTGCAAGAATAGAATTTCCATGACCTGCTCAGCTGGCTGAAGAGGTAGAGGCCCCTTTCAAGCTGAAGTTGTAAAGGACTATAGAAGTGTTTAGCCCTCTTGGGTTGGTTTCTTACAGAGACTGAACACTGTTTGAGAATTGAGATTATTTTATCCTCTAAGCTAGGGACTGTACCAGACACCATGCCTTCCCAATAGATCTCAAGTGATTCTCCACACATTTCTGTTATGAATACCATGACCTCCAAAATGATGATACTTCCTGTTATTTTGCTTAGGAAAATGAAAGCACATCTGTTCCTCAGTGTGCAGATAGATGCAAGTACTCAAGCGCATGCTCCATACATAGTCAGATGAGCACACTCTACGGGAAGCCCAGTACTCAGGGGTTCTTTGCATAACTTTACCATCCATTATATTTCAAGGTTGGTGTGTTGGCCTGTGAAAAAATAGAATTGGGCAAATTAGCATGTCTTACCAGACTGAGGCTCAAGTGGAATTTTGTTGGGCCTGAGAAATACCATTCATAAGATAGTATTTGATGTAAAACGTACAGTGTATAAACTGTGACTCTTGCAGTCTTGTCATCTGTGTTACTGAACATGTAGGTTTCCTATGATTGTAAATACAGAGAGCGTTGGTATGGTGGACATTCTGATTCTTTCCCAACAGCCTTCCTCTTTTTTCCTTTGGACTCAGAAACTTCATATTGTTCAGATTCAAAGTGCAACAACAAACCTAGGAATGGTGGCCACCGAGCTAACAGATAAACTGAAATCGGTCAGGCAGTCATGATTACAGTTGCCACCTCCTCCGTGACAGAACACATCCCTTGGATGTCTGCAACTGTGTTATGACTTTTCGTATGCACCCCTAGGAAAGCATTGAGTTGTTCATTAGGTGCAGCAAAAGGGTCTGGAGACAGCTCAGCAGTTAACAGAACTTGCTGCTCTTTCAGAGCACCTGACTTTGGTACTCAGCACCCACTTTACGCAGCTCATGACCGTTACTCTAGCTCCAGGAAATGTAGAGACCAGAGACATGCAGACACGCATACCTACACATAGTTAAAAATAATAATAAAAGAAAATCCTAAAGACAAAATAGAACAATTATAACAAGATGCTTTAATAAGACTCATTAAAAACCTATGCATTATTTATTTATGGAAATTTTGGGGCTGCAGTTAGTTGACCATGGATAACTGAAACAATAAAATACAAAGCCGTGGATAAGGGAAGATGTCGGAATTCCTCTTTCCTACAAGAGTCTCCTATGTCTCCAGCCCCTCCCTTTCTATTGGCCTTTGTCCTAACCTCTAAATATACCCCAGTCAAGTTATTAATTTTTCTCGACTTCCTATTACACTAATTTTTCTTCCTCTGAGTTTTTAGAGCCTCTACTGAGGAATTTGAACAAACCAGCTGCCTTCCTTTACACTACAGGGAAATGGGTTGTCCTATCTCCACCAATAGACTGCCCAGCTATGAAATCATATGACAAAATTCTCCATGTATTCTCCACTCTTTCACCTTGTTTGACCTCTTTGGTATTTGTGGCCCTTCTGGAGCCTCTTTCTAGAAATTCTCTGCTCCCTTGACTTCTCTGGCCATTTCCTTTTAGAGTTTCCTGTTTTTGTCTTCTGCCTCTACTCTCTAAAAGCATGTCATTATGGTGGCCTGCCGCGCTTCCCGCTCCATGCCACCCTGAAGTGTCCAGACTCTTCTAATGCTCCCTCTTTCCAGCTATAGTCTTAGACTCAGCCCTGAGCCTTTGGCCTTTGAATTTACATCCAATCCTTTGCTGAGCATCCCCTGAGATGGCCTCTGACT